CTGCTGCTGGGAAATTTCATGTAGCCGGGACACAGAGGGGGCTATTCAGTAGGGGGACGTGAGCACTCCTCTGAGGGGGAAATGTTGGCCAGTCAGGAGCCCTTGGTGGCTCACAAGGTCAGCATCTGCATTGAGTGTTTTTTTCTCAGCACACTACTTGCATAGCTGTATCTTGTGGTCTGTGTTTACTAGTGGAGGCATACAGGTATTACACTATGTGAAGTAATGTCTTCCAGAAAGCAGAGTGGGGGAGGTGCAGCAGGAAAGGGCCATAAGGGGCAGCCACCAGGTCCTAAGGAACCTAGTCAAAGGTCCGCTGTAATATCCTCTCCTGAGAGGACAGAAGTGGCTGGGCTGTCTGAGCCGCTGCATTTTTTTGGTATTGTGGCCACTACTGGGGCATCTGCCTCGGCACATGCAACCAAGGATGATCTTACTTCTGCCTTAACAGGGTTAGAAGATAGGATCGCTGGGATCATTGCATTGGTTTCTCAGGTGACTTAGAAGCGGGATAGATCTTCACTAGAACCACCAATCCTGGAGCAGGAGTGGGTGGAATCTGAGGATGGGGAAGAACTGGAGGAAAGTCACGTAGTAGAATCTCTGCCTGAGCAGTCACAACCTGAGGAGAAGCAAGCGGTCCCTGCCTCCCAGTCTCAGAGATTTAGTCCAGGACCTCACAGATATGGTGCGATCTGGATTCAGGTCACCTCCAATAGAAACCTCTGAGGTTATTTATTCTTCTCTGGGCTCTTTGACGCCTCCCCAGAGACCTTTCCAGTGCATCCTCTTATGGAGCAAATTTATATATACTAACTGGGATCACCCAGACAGCTTTTTTGTTCCAACAAGGGGTTTTCTTTGTTGTACCCCATGGGAGAAAAGTTTAAGCAATGGGGTTTGCCTGTAGTGGATGCAGCTGTTTCATCCCTGAATAAATCTTTAACATGTCCTGTGGAGAATGTGCAGGTTTTCAAGGATCCAGCCGATAAGAAGCTGGAATCTCTCCTTAAGGCCTCCTTCTCCCTGGCGGGTTCTTCTGTACAGCCACCTGTGGCAGCTATTGGCATTTGCCAGAGTCTTTCTGACCACGTCAAGTAATGGCTTGGAAGACCATCAATGCAGAGGGAGTGTTCCTCCGGATTTGGAGGATGTTCCAAGTGCTTTATGTTTTGCAGTTGATGCTGTTAAAGATTCAGTGCAGCAAATTTCTCGCTTGGTGCTTATTAGGGCACTTGTGCAGGGTTTTGTGGCTGGAGAGTTGGTTGACAGAACTGCCATACAAAAAATTGTTGGCAGGTTTTCCCTTTCATGGGGAACGGCTGTTTGGGGAATATTTGGATAAGTAGTATATCCAAACAATTTCAGGGGGAAAGAGTTCTCTTCTACCCTTTAAGAGGAAGTTCAAATGCCCTTCTTTTAAGGTGTCAGTGGCTTCGGTTGCTGGCTCCTCATCTACTAGGCAGTCGTTTCGCCACACGCAGATCCCAGCCTCCAGAGGTAGAACTCAGAATCAGAACCCAAGAAGGCCCTGGGTGCAAAAGTCATCCAAGGCAGATCCAAAGTTCACCTCCTTAAGAAGAAGCGCCTCCACTCGTTTGGGTGGGGGGGGAGACTTTTGAATTTTGTGGCTGCATGGAGGGCTCTAATACAAGACAAATGGGTAATTTCCACATTTTTTTATGGGGTACAGACTAGAATTCCTGGTCTCTCCCGCTCCCAAGTTTCTAAAATCAAATGTACCAGTAAATCCAGAGAAAAGAAGAGCTCTGTTTAAGGCACTCTATTGCCTACTGTCTCAGGGAATGATCACGCAGGTTCCAGCCGACGAATGGTTTCAGGGGTTTTATTCAAACCTGTTTACAGTCCCAAAACCAAATGGGGATGATAAGGCCCATTTTGGACCTCAAGGGGCTAAATCAGTTTTTTTGTATGGGATCATTTCGGTCAGTAGAGGCCTTCCTACAGGCAAGAGATTTTTTAGCGTCCATAGACATCAAGGACGCATACCTACATGTACCAATATTCATTCCTCACCAAAGATGAGGCTCTCAGAGTTTTCACAAAAATTCTTGCTCCGTGTTGGGTCTACTCAGAATTCAGGGGATAGTGGTCACAGGTAATCTAGATGATCTCTTGCTCAGAAGTCGATCAGTGCCAGGTCTGAAGCGGGATGTGGTCCTTATGATGCAGGTCCTATACCAGCTGTGCTGGGTGCTCAACTTCAAGAAGTTGGCCCTGGAACCAGTGCAGAGCCTGGAGTATTTGGGGATGGTCCTACACACAGCTCAGGCAAAGGTATTGCTGCCTTCAGGGAAATGTTGTGCCCTGAGGAGCAAGGTGTGCAGTTTGAAGGCCAAGACTTGTCCTTCAACTTACCTCTGTATGAGGTTGCTAGGGAAGATAGTGGCCTCGTTCAAGGCTATTCCCTATGCCCAGTTCCACTCCAAACTGTTGCAAAGGTACATTCTGACTGTTTGGAACAAAAAGATTCTGGCCCTGGATTACTGCATGTCTCTGCAGGTGCTGCGAAGCCTGAATTAGTGGTTGGTGACTCACAATTTTGAGAGAGGAAGATCCTTTCAGATCTGTCCTAGAGGAAACTGTCCTAGAGGGGGCCACATTTCAAGGAAAGTAGCTTCCATGGGAAAGAGTTCTTCCCATCAATGTCCTGGAATTTTGAGCAGTAAGGCTGGCTCTGAGGTATTGGACATCCAGGCTTCAGGGTTGGCCTGTAAGAATTTAGTCTGACAATGCCACAGCAGTGGCATACATCAAACACCAGGGCGGTACTAGGAGTCGAGGTGCTCAGAAGGAGGTGAACTACATTCTGACTTGAGCAGAGAGATATGTTCCCAGTTTGTCAGCAATGCTAATTCTGGATGTGGAAAATTGGCAGGCAGATTATCTCAGTTGCCGGCAGTTGATTCCAGGGGAATGGACTTTTGCATCCTGATTATTCAAGGAAATCTGCCTGCGTTGGGGTTTCCCAGATGTAGATCTTTTGGCATCCAGGTTCAACAACAAGGTCGATCTTTTTGTGTCCAGGGTAAGGGACCCTCCTGCAGCAGGGGTAGATGCCTTAGTAATTCCTTGGAACCAGTTTTTACTGATTTATGCCTTTCCTCCGATCCAGCTACTGCTACCTCTCTTGCGCAGGATTCGGGAGGAGTCTATTCCGGTGATACTGATGGTCCACACTTTTTTACAGGAAGTAATGCATATTGCTCCTTCTGTCAGGTTACGTTTGTGCCCTTGGGACCTGAACTTGGTTTTGCAAGGCCACCATTTGAACCTATTAGAGAAATTCCACTGGTCCTGTTGACTCGTAAGATGTTGTTTCTAGTGGCAATTACTTCTGCAAGAAGGGTGTCGGAGCTGTCAGCTCTTTCTTGCAGAGAACCATTTCTGGTTTTGCATCATAAGGTGGTGTTGTGACCTCAACCATCTTTTTTACCAAAGGTGGTTTCTAGTTTTCATCTCAATCAGGACATCATTCTGCCTTCATTCTTTCCTAGGCCTCCGTCAGCAGGAGAAAGATCTCTGCATACCTGGAATGTGGTACACGCTGTAAGCGTCTTCTTGAAGGTGACAGCACAGGTCAGGAGGTCAGATGCTCTATTTGTGCTGCCAGAGGGGCCTAGGAAGGGGCAGACGGAATCCAAGGTGACTATTTCACATTGGATCCGCCAATTGATCATTCAAGCCTATGGTATGAAATGTAAGGCTCCACCCTTATGGATGAAGGCACACTCTACCAGGAGTGTGGGGGCATTTGGGCAATCTGCCATCAGGTGTCAGTGGCTCAGGTTTGCAAGGTTCTACCAGGTGGATGTCCAAGCCACAGAGGATTCTGCCTTTGCCATTTTACAGACAGCTGAGTAGGTCCTGAGGAATTATTGTCGGTGGCTATCATGGTGTCACCCTCCCCTCAAATCTCTTATTGCTTTGGGACATCCCACATAGTCATGAATAGCCTGCTCTGTGTCCCGTGATGTATGATAAAGAAATTCCTTGCCTGTAAAATACTTTTCTTGGAGTACATCAAGGTCAAGACACAAAGGTCCCTCCCCTCCTTCTGGAATTTCATTGCTTGCTACAAAAGTACTTCCTGTGTAGGAGGGGTTATATAGGGGAGGACTGAGCCGTGCTCTGTGTGTCCCATAGACACACAGAGGCGGCTCAGAAGTGAGCACGCACTATTGCCCCCAGAGCAAGAAGCTAGCTCTGGGGGCAGTCAGCAAGGGGGAGGAGCCAGGAGAATCAGCAGGGGACCCAGGAAGAGGAGGTCTGGGGCTGCTCTGTGCAAAACCATTGCGCAGAGTAGGTAAATATGATGTGTTTCTTATTTTAAAGAGAAAAAAGCCTATAGAACCACCTTAAAGTATTTAGAGCTTTCCACACACCATGGAGAGATCACCATGCTGTGATATTCATGACTGATCTCATCAATTGCCAGAGTTATTAACCACTTCCTGTCCGGACACTTTTACCCCCTTCCTGTCCAGGGCAATTTTTAGCTTTCAGCGCTATCACACTTTGAATGACAATTGTGCGGTCATGCAATACTGTACCCATATGAATTTTTTTGCATTTTTTTGAGACAGATAAAGCTTTATTTTGGTGGTATTTATTCACGGCTGGGATTTTTATTTTTTTTACTATGTAAATAAAAAAAAGTCCAAAAATTTAGAAAAAAGTGTTTTTTTTAATAAAATTTTGCAAATAAATAATATTTCATCATAAATCTTGGCCAAAATTTATTCCGTTATTTTTTTAGTAAAAAAAAAAAATCCAAATTAGTTTATAACCAAAAATTATAATTTTTAAACATTTTTTTTACATTTTTATTTTTTTTTATATTATTTTTTATTTATTTTTTTTTTTACATACTGTCACCCTAGCAGTACAGTGTCACCATGGTGACACTGTACTACTTGTGGGGGGTGATGAAGATTTTTTTTTTTTTTTTTTTTTACACTGATTGCTTTTACACCCATATAGGATGTAAAAGCAATCATTTCTCTTTCTCTCTGTCTGCATTCTTGCAGTCATTGAGAATTACTGTCACATGGTACAAGGCTGTTGTGAATAGCCTTGTACAATGTGACCTCTGTGATCATTCACAGATTTCACACATAGTAAGCAATGATGTCACAAGTGACATCTTGCTTACTACTTTGCATGTGATCACTGATTCGCCAATCAGTGATCACATGATCGGGACCTCGTACAGAGGTCCCGTCTGACGATCAGTGTTTCACTGTGTCCGGAGGACACAGCGGGCACTGGATCGCGGTGGTGCGCACTCCCAGGGAGCGCGCACAGCTAGAAAAGGCGGGTGCTGTTTATGAACGGCAACCCGCCCCTGGACTGCCACCGCCCTGCCGTTTATAAACAGCAGGCGGATGGCAAGAGGTTAATTATCAAAGTGCCCGAATGATGAATAAAATGATAATTGTCTGGTTACTGTGGGCTTCAACTTTTTTGTTCTTTTTCAATAGATTAGTAAATAGTTCTGTCAAACTTTTATTGCTGTCCAGCAGGGGCGGACTGACCATTTGGAAACTCGGGCACTGCCCGAGGGCCCGGGGTCAGTAGGGGGCCCCATGAGATGCCCCTGGTACTTTTTTCATAGGCTTTCTTGAGTTTGGGCAAAGACACAGGGGCCCCGTGATCCCCTATTGCCCGGGGGCCCCATGAGTTGTCAGTCCACCTCTGCTGTCCAGGACTGTGCTGTCAAGAGCATGCTTCAGTTTCTGTCTCTGTGACAACAACACAGGAAAAAAGGTAGCAGTTGTCACAGGTACATTAAGACATAGGGGTTGATTTACTAAGGGCAAATAGACTCTTTGCAAGTGCAGTTGCACTCTGCAAGGGAATTTGCTCTAGAACTTAGTAAATGAGGGGAAGCTCTGCTGACTTCCATCATCCAATCATGTGCAAGCAAAAATGCTGTTTTTTTTAATATTCCTTGCATGTTATTGGGCATTCTTTGCAAAGTGAAGCTTCACCTCATTTAGTAAGCTCTGGAGCAAATTCCCTTGCAGAGTGCAATTGCACTTGCAAAGTGCACAGTCTATTTGTAAATCCACCCCATACATAGTAATATTAGCCTGAAAGGTATTCTGTGTACCATTATACTGAAAAATAAGTGTTTTTTTGTAGTCTTTGTTCTTCCAGCAAGTGAGGGAAAATGTCTCCAAATGAGTGGCAGTGAAAACTTTATAAGGCTTCTATTCCTTCCCCACTCTGTTCAAAACTTTAAAAAATGTTTTGGTTGGAGTGGAGCTTTGTTAAATGGTGCCACTGTGTCTGCTTCATATCATTCTTCTTATGATATGTTTGCAGAAGCAAATTGGATCATGCTTTGCTGGGGTTTTTTTGCCTTCCTCTGGATCAACTGTGGGTATAGGATTAAAACTTTTTTTTTTTTTTTTTTAATGGTTTAACAGGATGGACTTTTGTCTTTTTTCAGCCAGACTAACTATGTAACTGTGTTTTGTATCCAGGCATGGTGGTGGCCCTCTTCCTGTACAAGGGAAACATCCCTCGACTCTTCCAGAGGAATCTACTCTACAGCCAGAAAAGCAAATTCAGAACACCAAAAACAAAGAATGTTCAGCCTAAAACCTCAAGTAATAAATCATCACCTGCAAAGAGTTCAGAGAAAAAATCCAATATGGCGAGGCAGCGTAAAGTGGAGAATGTGACACTAAAAGACAAAAGCAGTTAAATCTGTTCTAGAATTTTTTTTTACTGGATTCTTTACCCTATAGGTAGAAAAAAATACCCCTCTCTAGCTCTTTGGAATTTACAGCACAGATGTTCATTGTTCCACTGCTTCCAAGGCTTCATCAAACGTTTATCAACTGATTGGTAAAGAAAAGTGGTCATGAGAGAATTATGAGGGCTGCCATTGCTGACCTCTTCTGAAAATGCTAGTTCCTTGGCTGTGTTGTTGATGAATTGGCTTCAATGCTTTCTGAGTCACTGACCTGGGCTGAGTATAAAGATAAGGAATCCTGACACTTTTCTGACAGTCATTTTCAGCATTTATGTTTAAAACATTTTGAATACAGAAATGGACAGACCTTTTTAAAGGAGGTCAGCAAAGGCAGCCCCTATACTTTGCCCATCACAGGGTAACTTTAAAGTAGTAAATACATCCTTCCCAATGATCTTCTCTATCAAATATCTTTGTCAACAGGCTTATATATTTTACTTTAGAACAAGAAGCTGTAAAAGACATTTTAAGAATAAAAGATTTTGAATAAAAATATTTCTGGCTGTATTAGACTTGTTTTAGACCTATATTGCATATGTTCTGAAATTACTCTAAAAATCACATATTGACTTTTATGAAGAAAATGGATGAAGCGTATTTAGCAGAATTAAATAATTGCAATCCATTTGAACTCATCAGCAGAGCAAAGTAGGAAGAGGCGCAGTGTTAACGTCTCTGTAAATCCCAACTCTATTTTCAGTATATTCAGCATCATGTCTTACTGTAGGGGCGTATTTACCACAAGGCAAACAAGACATTTGTCTAGGGTGGAATTTTTCAGGGGGGGGCAGCGGCATTTTTCATGTGGGCAGAGCCGCCCCCTGAAAGAAGGGATGGAAGAATGAACACACGCAGCATGGAAACCAGGTGGGATCTGAGAGAGGCTGAGGGTTGCTTGATGGTGTATGCAGAGCCTGACTCTTGTTCCTGGGGATGTCCAGAGCTGCGAAGGTGAGTGTCTTCTATCTTGCCAGGGTGGGGGGGTTGCCAGTGTATGGGGGGCGGGGTTAGTGGAAGGCTTTCTCGGGTGGGGGTGGAGCTAGTGTGTTGTTGGGCAATGTTAGGCTCTTTGTGTGGGAGGGGGTGTTGGTCGGTGTCAGGGTCTTCTGTGGGGGGGAGCCAATTTTTATGTTGCCTAGGGCAGCACGAAACCTGAATACACTACTGTCTTACTGTATACAGTTTTCTTAGGCAAATCATTTGTTTGTGAATCTGTTGTAAAGTTTCTTACCTGGAGTTCTGCCAGTAACAGCACTTCTTGTTGCAATGCAAACTACAGATAGGCAACCCAATGGCCAACTAAAGGAGCATGCACCCCAGGCTACGTGACAACACTGCTGCTAATTGCAAGTCTGTGGCTTACCCTAGATTTACACTTGTCTGGATTTGTGGCTCGCGATTGCATGGGTATGGCAGCCTATTAATGTGAATGGTCTGCTGTACCTGCGTTTCCTCCAAAAAAAGGCGCTTGCACCATTTTAAAAACACATCCACACGGAAATCGCATGGTACTTATGCACCATACGATTTCCCTGCATTTCATGCACCTGAAAACACGCTGTCAGTTGAGATGCATGAGGTGCAATTAAGATTGAATGGCAGCCCAGCGTGTCTCTAAAGAGCAGAATGTTTTGGCTGCGAGCTGTTGCCATTGCGGGACCAGCTGTGATTCCCGCACCCGCAACCACCACGCACAGTGTGAACCTAGCCTTAGTGTTGCAATAGAATGTTACATATAGTTACATAGTTAGTCTGGCTGAAAAAAGACAAAAGTCCATCCAGTTCAACTAAAAAAAAAAGTTATAATCCTATACCCACAGTTGATCCAGAGGAAGGCAAAAAAACCTGGCAAAGCATGATCCAATTTGCTTCTGCAGGGGAATAAAAAATCCTTCCTGATCCCCGGACAGGCAATTGGATATTCCCTGGATCAACTTTACTAATAAATGTTAGTATCCAGTTATATTCTGTGGATCTAAGAAAGAATCCAGGCCTTTTTTTAAAGCAACCCACTGAGCTGCCCAGAACCAACTCTTGATGGAGTCTAATCCACATTTTACAGCTCTCACTGTGAAGAAACCTTTCCATGTGTTTGGAGATTAAATTTCTTTTCCTCCAGACGTAAAGAGTGCCCTTCTTGTCCTCTGTGATGACCTCAGGGTGAATAACTCTACACTAAGTTCACTATATGAACCACTGATGTATTTATACATGTTGATCAAATCCCCCTTAATCTCCTCTTCTCAAGAGAGAATCAATTCAGTTCCTCTAATCTTTCCTCATAGCTGAGCTCCTCCATGCCTCTTATCAGTTTGGTTGCCCTTCTCTGTACTTTCTCCAGTTCCCCAATGTTCTTTTTGTGAATTGGTGCCCAAAACTGAACTGCATATTCCAGATGAGGTGTTACTAATGATTTGTACAGGGGTAATATGATATCTCTCTCTCTGGAGTCTATACCTCTTTTAATAAAAGAGAGGATTTTGCTCGCTTTAGAAACCGCAGCTTGGCATTGCATGCCATTATTAAGTTTGTGATCTACCAGAACTCCCAGATCCTTCTCCACCATTGATTCCCCCAGTTGCACTCCCCCCCCCCCCCCCCCCCCCCCCCCCAGTATGTATGTATGATGCATGCATATTCTTAGCTGTTACTTGCTGGAGATTTCAACAGAGTAGCCTCCCTAGCGGTCTGATTATGTCAGTATTTCTGTGCTCAAAGCAGTACATTTTTTTGCATGGAAATATGTATTTTTTTTATTGTAGGTCTGTAATTTTTAGGAATAACTCACTGAAATCTGTCCGAACAAAAGTCTAGTACACATGATAAAATTTGAAACACGATATCATAAATTATAATTTAATAAATAATCATAAAAAATAATATAATAATAATTTTAATTAAATAATATATTCAAACCAAAAACACTGAAATTTGAAATATAGCGCCAAGTTCGCACATCACTGAGCAAAGTCGCAAAATTGTTTTCAGTGTCTGATGAAGAATTTCCCCACGAATCATTATCACTCAATTCTGCAAGTAGTTCTGATTTACTATCGCTGTTCTCTAGCTGGTTTAAAACCGCTTTTGACCTAAAGGGATGCTTTTTGGACGCCATGGACGTTTCTCAGTTTCCAGGCAGAAAGAACAGTAAAAATGCAGGCAGGGCACAGGACAAAGCACTAGGGACAATATGTATGTGAAATGGTTTGATACAGTAATGTTATACCATGAGATTTTAGTGAATGTCACTTTTACAACTTTCAAATTTCCCGCCAGTTCCGTCCCCCGTACATCCCAACGTCGCAGGGAACGGAACCCAGAAGACAGATGCCGGCATGGGCCAG